GCAAGGCACAGCGAGAGGTAACGAGTTAATCAGGATCTCGCTGGCTGGGAAGAGCAGCGCCGAACCCCGAGTCCTCCTCGTTCATCCCGGGCGCTTCTTGCCAGCGATTTCTCTGCCCAAACGAGCGACTCCCTCCCCATATCCGCGCTGCCCGTGATCTTCGTTTTCTCCCGGGGCAGGACGACCGCAGGCGCGTGTCCGACGGCACTAACCCCGGCGGGGTACCATGAAGTGTAGTTCTCAGCACCTGCTTCATGTGAAAAACTTACTATTAGGAAACATTATTAAAGTGTAGCACAATGGTTGTTACAGTGATGGCCCTTACCAAGCTTAGCGCGCTCACGGGGTTTGCCCTCCCTCTACTTACCCCAAACTCGTTACATTTAACTCCTAGCAATGAATCTTTCACCTGCAAATGCTTTAACAAATAGAACTTTAAAAAAAAACCCCTAAATGTACCGCAACGATCAACTCCCCGACCTGCTTTGACTCCACCAACTCTTCCTCCTTTATTCTGTTCTGTTTCAATGAAGACGAGTCTTCATACGAACCAGGTTACCCCCGATCCCCGCGTCAGGAGGCGTTTAGGAACGGCACGTCTCCTCGCAAAGGCTCGCTCCAGCTCCCGCGTCCGAGCCTCCTGGCAGACACGGACCGACGGCACTCGGGGACCTTTGAGACCTCTGAGTGGATCAGTAACGGCCAGAGAGCTCGTCCGCGCTTCGCCTCCCCGGCCAAGGGGAGAGCTCGCCCGCCTGAGCCTCCCTGCGAGCTCTGCCTGGAGCCGGGCTCGGAGCCGGTCCAGAAGAGCCGCGCTGGACTGCGGCTCAACTGTTTGAGAGGAACAAATAAAATCTTAGAGATCGCCAGAGATAAAGGTGCCGCAGCGCTGGCTGTGATGTGATATCAAAAGGCAGCAATTAGTCCCTCCTGACATGAAGGCAGCGCGCTGTCTTAACTAGTTGAGGGTAAGTAAGCACCTCCCTGGCGGGCAAGGCAGCCGCGCCTGCCAAACCTTTGAAGCACATCCCTTCTCTCCCTACCACCGCCTCGGTCTTTCCCGGGTTGTTTGAGCCAACTGGCCTTTATTCCGGCTCCTCCGGTGAGCCCAGGAACGCCGCTGGCACGGCAGCGCCCCTCCAATCTCCCCAAACGGGCTGCACCTCGGCGCGGAGCCCGTGGCGGCAGAAATCTGCCTGTGGGAGCTCCTGCCCATCCCGACCGCGGGGCCGAGCCGTAGGAAGAGGCTCCCCGCCGCTCCGCCGGCTCCGGGAGGACACCACCGACACCGGCTCTGCGGCAAGCAGCCTCGGAAACACGGGGCGTAGAGGGACCCTCGTGGCTCAAGGGCTTTCACGGTTCCTCCCCTCGCAAGGGTGTCCCACTTGCTGAGGAAAGGACGGCGTTTCTGTCCCGGGGAGAGGCAGAAATTACTGCACCAACGCAAAAGAAAAGGGGACTAAAATATCCCACCTGCAGTTACAGCCATTCTGCTTCGACGCAGGGGCGTAAGCGGCGTAAGGACAGAGCAGTTCCCTGAAAACGCTGCCGGCTGCAAGAAAATACAAAAAAAAAATAAAAAGGGAAGTAGTCCATCTTAACAGCCCGTTAATGCCGCAGCGGGGTTGGTGTGAAGTGAAACCCGAATCCTGCCCCTTAACACCGGCCGAAGGGAACCTGCAGCTCGCCTTCCCTCACCGTCTGAAGAAGTTTCAAGGAGCGGGTTGCCGGTACTCACCGGCAATTAGGTCCCGAAGTCCGTCAAACCCGGCTCTTTGATGTGCCAGGTTTTATAAAGCCGGGACACGGTGCTGACAATAACGCTGTTGTCCTGCCTACGACTTAACTCGCACTAATTACATTTAATTTCGTTAGCTTTACGTTCTGAGGATATACTCACACAGCTGTCGGGGATATCCTGGCGATTCCCGTGCGTCGCAAGGTAAGCGGCGTTTTGTTAAAAAAAAAAAAAAGAAGAGGAGAATCTGCGGCACGGCGAGCCCTGCACGCGGAAGAGGTTTTACAGCGCTCGCCGATGAGGCCGTCGCCGAAAAGCTGGCAGCTTTTGGTCCATCTGTAACATATCAAACCCTGGCTGTTAGGATCGGGCCCTTCGTGTTCGCTCCCTTCCTGCTCCCACCCTACAAAAAAACCCCCCTCTAACAACCCGGGTAGGTGCAAGGCACGCGGCTTGAACTAAGCGTAACCCCGATTAGTTTGGCAAAATCAACTTGAAATTAGATCTTCAGCTGTCGTGCGCACGCAAAGACACACACACGACGGCCAACCTCCCGGCTTTTGTAACGCAGCAATTCACACACACGACGGTCAACCTCCCGGCTTTTGTAACGCAGCAATTTATAAAAATACGACGCTTTGGAGTTCAAGACCTAATAAAGCAACGTGGGAGTCAAAACTGTCAGCAGAGGCCTAACAACAGAGCACCTTCTTCAAAAAAACCCACCAAGTGCATAAATGCAAAATAATCCGGTTTTTAACTGGAAGAGTCCACATTTGACAGCAAAATCTGCACTTAAACCAGAAGCCTCCAAAATCTCACTGTTTTACATCTAAACCAAGTCCAGTTAATACCAGGGGATGAGCCGGCATTATCTGCCTGTCGCAGAGGGAAGAAAACGTGGCCGAGTCACTCACTTAAAGAAACTCGGCCCGTAACGCAACCGGGAACTCAACCCAGGCTCACCGGCTACCCCAAGCCTCACCCCTCATCGGGGAACCGAGCGCAGGGGCTGTCGGCTCAAAAACTCCCCAGCACCCAGTTAAAAAAAAAAAAAAAAAGTGTTGTTTTTTTTTTTAAAAACCAGGCTTTTTTTCCGACTTTGCACAGGAAAAAAAAAACCCACCCGGTTACTTCCACAGCCCTCGTTTCCACCAGCCAGAGGAGTGGCATTTATAACTCAAAGACAAGGTTCGCTCCAGTTTATTATCAGCTTGAAAAGTTACCCCTTCGGCCCCGGCAACAGGCGAACGCTTTTGTTTTTAAGTCTCTCCAAGCGCCGCAGCGGTAACCGCTGCCTCGGTAGCCGGCAGCAGGCGCGGGGAGGCCATATTAACTGCAATCCACTGGATCCAGCCAGGGCGAACCCCCTCTGCGGATCCGGCCGTGGTTCGGCTGAAACGTGTGAAACAAAGGATTAAATTCGAGGGCTCATTCTTCCCCCGACGCGGTGTATTAAACGGGTGTTGTGGCACGGCGGACAACGAGCAGCTTTCACCCTTCCAGGAAACGTGTTTTCTAACCCAAATTTCACTTTCAGTATAAACCTGCGCTGTTCCTCCTCACTTTGCTCCTACCGGGGGTCCGTCGCAAACCAGCCCTGCAGGGAGCTCGGGCTGCTGCTGTCGAGCAACGTTCAAATACCGTTTAACGCGGGTTTTGCTAGAAAAATGTTACACACACCACCCCCCCCCAGCACTACAGGTGAGGCCGGAG